GGTGATATGGGGACGTGGGATGAGGATGGGGGGACACAGGAGCAGCGGAAAATGTCGGGGGACAGTGGGGGGTGAGATGAGGACCAGGGGGGCCTTTTGGAGCCCCTCCCTGACACGCACCCCTGCACCTCCCCAGGTACCACTGCCACCAGTGCCACACTGGAGCCTGGGCAGGGTCCAGTAGGTGTTGAGGGTAGCAGGTGCCCTTCTGTCTTCAGGATGGAGGTCACACGTGATGGTCCCACTGGTGTGTCCTCAGGGTGTGGGGGTGGACAGATCCCCACCCCACCACCCCCAAGGTGGGGGATGTCCAAAGTTCAGGGTGTTCCCAGGTAACAGATGCCACCCTCCTCTCCACAGGCTACTCTGCGCAGCACCCTAGGGACACTGCTGTCACATCCAGGCCCCCCACCCCCAAGACTGCCTGTCACTGGTGGCACCAACCTTCTGTTCCTGCCTGAACATCTGTGTCCATGAGACTTGGGGGGAGCAGGGCACCCAGGCAACTGGGACCCTTGGAGGTTTGGGTCCTCCAGACATGGGCAGACGGGCTTGGGGGGATGGGTTCCCTGGACTCCTAGGACCCCCAGACACAAGCTGAGGGGCTTTGAAGGGCAGGGGCACCTGGGCACCAGGGTCGTAGAATCATAGAATGGTTTAGGTTGGAAGGCACCTTAAAAATCATTGAGTCCCACCCCCCCTGCCATGGCCAGGGACACCTCCCACCAGCCCAGGTTGCTCCAAGCCCCGTCCAACCTTGTCTTGAACCCCTCCAGGGATGGGGCAGCCACAGCTTCTCGGGGCAACCTGCCCCAGGGGCTCACCACCCTCTGAGTGAAATATTTCCTCCTAATATCTAATCTAAATCCCCCCTCTTCCAGTTTGAAGCCATTCCCCCTTGTCCTATCACTACATGCCCTTGTAAAAAGTTCCTCCCCAGCTTTCCTGTAGGCCCCCTTTAGGTACTGGAAGGCGACTGTAAGGTCTCGCTGGAGCCTTCTCTTCTCCATGCTGAACAACCCCAACTCTCAGCCTGTCAGGAAACTGAGGGGGTCAATGCAGGAGGTGGAGCCTGGGTGGCTGGATCCTTCAGTCACCTGGGTAAATTGGACATGGGCCACAGAATCATTTAGGTTGGAAAGGATATCTTGAGATCATCTGGTCCAACCTCCTGCTCAAGCAGGTCCACCTAGGTTGCCCAGGACCATGTCTAGTCTGCTTTTGAATATCCATGGATAGAGACTCTTCAACTTCCCTGGGCAACCTGTGCCAGTGCTTAGTCACCCTCACAGTGAAAGTGTTTCCTGATGTTCAGAGGGAACCTCCTGTGTTCCAGTTTGTGCCCGTTGCCTCTGGTCCTGTAACTGGGGACCACTGAGGAGAGCGTGGCTCCATCCTCTCTGCGCCCAACCTTCAGGTATTTATATACATTGATAAGATCCCCCTGAGCCTTCTCTTCTCCAGGCTGAACAGCTGCAGCTCTAGCAGCCTTGTACAAGAGGAGCTCCAGTCCCTTCCATCATCTCTGTGGGCCTTCATTGGACTCACTCCAGAATGTCCATGCCTCCCTTGTACTGGGGAGCCCAGCACTGGACACAGCACTCCTGGTGGGGCCTCACCAGTGCTGAGGGGAAGGATCACCTCCCCCAACCAAGACTGCTAATGCAGCCCAGGATATCCTCAGCCTTCTTGCCAGAAGGGCATGCTGCTGGCTCATGGTCAGCTTGGTGTCCACCAGGATGCCCAGGGCACATACAAACGCATGCACACATAACACATCCACACGTGTGACCACAGCACACAGACACCTCTCCCCAGAGTACATGTCCTTCCTGCGACATGAATACAGGTGTGCACTTCACACAGACACGGAGTCCTGACCCAGTGTTGGTGCCACATGTTCACCTTCCACTGGGCCAAAAAGATAGCAGTCTGTACAAGATCTGTAGAGAGTAAGAGATGATGGTCATCAGCTGAAACAAGCGCAGGTCAGACTGGATGTGAAGGAAAGAATAAGGGTAACAAAGCATTTGAATGGCTCCAGAGAGCTTATGGACTCAGTTCTTCAAGGGTTTTAGGACTTTGTTGGTCAAAGCCCTGAGGAACTTGGGGTGGCTTCAGCATTGATCCTAATGTGAGCAGGAGATTGGGCTAGACGCCACACAAGTTCCCTTTCTCGCCTGGATGGTTGAGTGATTCCGTGACCTCTGATGAGCCCTGAGTTCATCCTCCACATGTGGGTTAGCACCAAGTATCCTCAGAGCTAGACCATCTCAGTGGTGGGATGTTCCCTTTTGGGCCTGAAACATTTTAAGTTCACAGTTTAATTACACAGGACTACTTGCCACCAG